ACTGATGGACTTGATTGATGATATCATGCTTTATTCCATGTTCTAATTATCTTTCATATACTTATTTGATTTGCTCGTAAATATTGATATTGACCCCTCGTTGCTACTTCTTCGAGGCTAGACTTGATACTTACTGTACACCATAGTTTTATACTCATACTATACTTTTTCACATTTTTGTATAGGTTCTGAGACTGGTATTAGCGGTACCAATCGAGCTGAGTAGGAGTATATTATTGAAAACTTTGTGGTGAGCAGCTTTACTTGATCCGATCCGCAGAACATGGAGTCCTTATTCCCTAAATATCTATTGTCCATGTATTTCTTTTCCGACAAATGTTATTGTTGTTCAGTTGAAATTAGTTACTCTTATTAGATGATCGTGATGATGTGACATTAGGTTTTAGGCATTTGTTAGATAGTTGTAGTCATGTTTAGACCCTGTGACTTATTCCCCATTATTATTTATATCATGAATCAATTAATGACTTATATAATTGGACTCTATTATTATTGTGAGTGTTGGCTTGCCTAGCAAGCGGGTTAGGCGCCATTAAAACCTTTGTAGGATTTTGGATCGTAACATCTGCCAGATACGGATATCCACTAGACACACCTATGTCTAGTTGAGGTAGATTGGCTAAATTTATGTATTCTTGCCAAAAGATTAATTAAAATCTCCAACATTTTTATATTGGTAATTTTGTCTCCACTCCATTTAATCAGTTTTTACCTTTTAGTCCTTGACACACAAGCTTTATTGTGTAAAAAAAGAAGGAAAAAATAAAGTCTGTTATGATCAATTATAATGGAATAGAACCCTCTATTTATAGGGGAAAAGTGACTTAGCCACCAAGTAACAAACCCTAGAATCTCTCTCAAATATAGACATTTACCTTAAATACAATTCTATTTATAACATTCCCCCTTGAATATATATTCAACAAATAATGTGCCTCGTTAAAACCTTAACTAAAATAAAACCCAGTGGGAAAAAAATTCTAGAGAAGGAAAAAGAGTACACATATCTAACAATAGGCATTTTGGCTGCCTCGTTAAAAACCTTGTAAGGAAAACCCAATAGGACAAAACCTTGTAAGGGAAAAAGAATACAACGCGTATTAACTCCCTCTAATGAGAGCATCAATTCACATCCATGAGCCTTCACATTCCAATCTTGTGCACTAGCTTCTTAAAGGTTGACGTCGGCAGAGATTTAGTGAATAAATCAGCCATATTAACTCCTATGAATATGCTGCACCTTGAAAATTCTTGTTATCACATTATCATGCTTATAATTATAGCAAGATACAAATGTGCACAAATTGCATTTAGGATGTAGTATTTCATGGCCAAGAATTCTATATGCTTTAGGCAATTTAAATCCTTCAGGGATTGTCATATAAGTTAAATCATATACGCCATATGAATGAACTTTAGATGCATATCAAGTTTTCATGTCATGCTAGACATATAAGATATCAAAAACTGATTGCACATACCATTGACTTTATATTTTCAAGTGTTTGAACTACATGTCTTTCATATGAAACCAATTCTATTCGAAATTGTTTCTCTAGACTTAAGATCCTCATATATATATTTAGCGCTATCATAGATGTTGTCGACGAATATTTTATATCGGTTCCAATATTTTTTCAAAAAGATATAACATAGAGATCTCTTTATTCATTTCAGGTACCTAAACCTCTCCTGAGATTTTATGAAGTGTTATGTCATGTGATCTTCTAGTTCACTTGCCTCCTTATTATGATCATTTGTTTTCCTTTTTCTAGGATTTCGATCTTTAGAACCCAATGGTCTGCCACGTTTCAGGCGTGCTTTTGACTCATTAGTTATGATACTAGAAGATTGTCCAATAGGGACAACAATACAGATTGGAACATTCTCTGTAGGGATATGTAATTTTGTTATCCTTTTCATATTCGTAAATGCATCTGGCATTTGATTTGCTATTCTCTGCAAATGAATAATCTTTTGTACCTTTTTTTCACAAATAGAGGCATGTGGATCAAGATGAGACAATGATGGATTTTTCCACTAAATTTCCCGTTTGGTTTCACCATTTTCTCCTCCTAATTTTGGGAAAAGTGTCTTATCGAATCGACAATCTGCAAATCGTGCAGTGAACAAATCTCTTATTAATGTTTCGAGGTAGCGAATAATAGAGGGCGATTCAAACCCAACATATATTCCTAACCTTCTTTGGGGACCCATTTTGGTGCGATATGGCGGTGCTACAGGCACATATACTGCGCATCCAAAAATTCTCAAATGGGATATATTAGGTTCATGACCCATAACTAATTGCAACGGGGAACATTTATGATAATTTGTCGGTCTGAGATGAACTAGCATTATTGCATGCAAAATGGCGTGACCCCAAACAGAAATGGGTAACGTCATTTTCATGAGTAACAGTCTTGCTATCAATTGCAGACGTTTAATTAAAGACTCTGCAAGGCCATTTTGAGTGTGAACATGAGCTACAGGATATTCTACTTTTATCCCAATTGATAAGCAATAATCATTAAACGAGGCAATCAAAATGCCTATTGTTAGATATGTGTACTCTTTTTTCTTCTCTCGAATTTTTTTCTCACTGGGTTTTATTTTAGTTAAGGTTTTAACGAGGCATATTATTTGTTGAGTAGACATTCAAAGGGGAATGTTATAAATAGAATTGTATTTAAGGTGAATGTCTATATTTGAGAGGGATTCCAGGGTTTGTTACTTGGTGGCTAAGTCACTTTTTCCCTATAAATAGAGGGTTCTATTCCATTGTAATTCATCCCAAATCAATAAGAACTCTCTCCTCCTACTTTTCTCTGCAATACTCTTCTTCTTCTTTTATTGTTTCATAACACGTTATCAGCACGAGACTCTAACCAATTGGTAGAAGCTTTGGGATTGAGCATAATGATTGTCAATTGTTCCATGAACTTTCTTCAGGAATAAATTTTGAATTGAAGGTAAGTATTTTACCTTATTATGTTCTTTTAAATTCTTAAATTCTATAATTTGATTTTATATACAAGCAAAGATAACAAAGTTTGATTATCACTCTAATAGTGTTTGTAAGAAATTATAACCACCCGAAGTGGTAAAAATTTTATGTCTTACCATGATCAAATTCATGTATGATTATGGGCACAAGAAGTGAAAACTCGTCCTATTGAATTTGCTTCATTTTCATTCCCCTAAGAGAATGTGATATCAATATGTGATAAGTCTGAACGAAGACAAAATTATTACTATGAATATATCAATGGATGTGGACGTGGCAATAGACGAAATTATAATCGTCATCATTTTGGTAATGAGAACAATAAGGATTCTCAAAATAATCCTTCACTCTGTGAAAGTAATATTTGTCATCAATTTGACATGAGATTTTATCAAGCACATATCGATAATTATGGTCCATTCATGATGTGAATGTGACAACATATGATTTATGAATACATATTCATTCTTGGAAGAATATGAACGTGCTAGTGGTAGTGAATATACCACACTCACCTCTAGAAGGAGGTTTGAGATGATATAAGAAAATAATATCATTATTATGGCATGAATGGCCATTGGTCACGTACCTATTGCACACCAAAATATTATGGTAATGTGATTATTAAAGAATAACATTAATGCAAGAAAAAGAACTTGCATATAATTTTTACCATGACCATAATGGTATCACTTTCTCTTTGAAAGAGATATTCACCATATAGATGTTAATGAATATGTGGTAGTACAAAATTAATTGAAAGATCTAGAAGAGCCAATTATACTACTTTGGAGAAATAAAATTGATTATCAATAAGACGTGGTGCCGTAGTAAGTCTCAAAAAAACTTATTGAGTTTCTAAAGTATTCGCGAAAGCGATTGGTTATATTTAGACTATAAATAAAGGAAAGATTTAATATCTTCTATTACTAACAATTTGTAGCGGGGTAATATGTATGGGAAAAGTTACCCGCTTTATTCTCCAGTTTGTACTACACAAACAAAAGAATGCCACAATAGAGTAGAAGTTTATTGATATAAATACCCATATCATAATAAAATTGGAGTTTATTCATAATTGCACACGTCATGGTGTAAACCTGAAGTTTATCAATATTGATAATTTCTCCAATTGGCATAATTGGTTTAGCCATTAATTTAAGCATGATGTGCAAAATAACAGAGAATTCACATGGGCAAATATTAAAGAACTAAAAGGTTCTTTATGAATTCTCTTATGTTGCTTGTTCTCATTAATTAATAGACCAACTAAAATTGGGATTGAATCTCATGAATGCTGGAAATATCAAAGGTGAATATGGGCCCGTTCACCTGCCATGTATACCACGTAAGATGCATCTATGAGATGGTTACATGTGTGATTATTATTAACCTGCAACCTGGTGTTTGCGAGGTAACTGCTCAATAATTTAATTTAGAGCATAATTTCCAGATTTTTGTTCAACAAGATAGTTCATCTTGATAAGTTAGTTTACATCACAGTTGGTTTAACAAAATAATTTATTGAGTGCCTCCACTTAATAGCTAAACTATTGCTTATGAGAACAAAGTTATCTATATCAGTTTGATATACGTTATATACTAAAGTATATTACATTCTCTCCTCACAAGTGGTTCAGGGTCAGGAACCAAATAATTTCATCGTATTATTATTATTGATGTGCGGTGTATATTTTGATTTACATCATAATGCACAAAGGTGGATTTCCAAAGTTGAGGAAGCAAGTTAATTTTTCTAACATAAGGGAGAGACATGATGCAACAATTGAAAAAAAGTTACATGGAATGAATTATTATTTATACATCTCGATCCTTGAATAAGATAATATAAATTTGAAGTTCATAAAAAGATAGTAATTCATTTGCAATATATTATAATCTTGTGTTCTTTTATTGTTAGCTAAAACAAGTTGCTCTTTTTTAATTCAAGACGGAGGGTCTCTCTGGTTAAATTCTCTCCATGAAGCTTAGGAGGGGTCAAATTAATAACACACTAAAGAACAAAACATAGTCACATACCGAACTGAACTCTGTGATTTCAAGGGGAATGAAAGAGTATGAGAGGGTTCTCCTCTCTAGCTTCAAGGGCTTCTTCACCTGCTTTCACAAATCTCTCTAAACAAAACCACAATTCCCTCAGACCCATTACTCCAAAACCCTCAAATCTTGACTCTGTTGCGACCACTAGCAGCACCACCACTGAACAAACTTCACCCGGTAAGTCTTCATTGAACTGGCGTTCCAACACTTCAATTGCAGCTAAAAAACGGAACTTTCAAGGAAGTGGTATTGATTACGAGTATTTTACTCAGATTCTTGCAAGAAATGACTGGTATTTATTGCTAAACCATGAGTATAAAGCCAAGAGGGTTACTTTGAATCAGCAAGCAGTTGTTAGTATTCTGCATAATCAAGAAAATCCATTACACCCTTTTAGATTTTACATCTGGATTTCGAATATTTGTCCCTCTTTTGCCAAGAATCAATCAGTTAAGGGGGTCTTAGGTAATTTACTTTGTAGAAGAGGTCCCCTTTTGTTGTCAGCTGAGCTAGTTCAGGATATCAGAAACTCTGGAAATGTAATTACTGTGGATTTGCTTTGTGTTCTGATTGGTAGTTGGGGGAGATTAGGGTTGGGGAAGTACTGTGCTGACATATTGGAGCAGGTTTCTTATTTGGGACTCACTCCTACTACTAGGTTGTATAATGCAGTGATCGATGCGGTGATCAAGTCCAATTCACTTGACTTAGCTTATCTAAAGTTTCAGCAAATGCAGGTGGATAATTGTAATCCGGATAGGTTTACGTATAATATTCTCATTCATGGAGTTTGTAAGGTTGGGGTTGTGGAGGAAGCGCTTCGTCTGGTTAAACAGATGGAAGGAGCGGGATACTCTCCCAATGTGTTTACTTACACCATTTTGGTTGATGGGTTTTGTAATGCTAGAAGGGTGGACGAGGCTTTTGAACTCTTCCGGATAATGAAGGATAGGACTATTGTTCCTACTGAAGCTACTGTAAGATCATTGGTTAATGGGGTATTTCGTTGTATGCCACCAGATAAGGGTTTTGAATTATTATCTAGATGGTTAGAGAAAGAATCTGCCTTGCCTGATATAGCTTTTTCTTCCATGCTACATTGCCTTAGTACTAATTCTTTGCCAACAGAAGCAGCCCAACTTTTAAGAATATCAATTGATAAAGGTTACGTCCTGGATAATTCAACTATTAACATTGTACTGACTTGTTTAATCAAAGGATTAGAGCTTGATGATACTTGTCAGATGTTAGACTTTATCACTGTTCGAGGTATGAAGGTTAGTATTGATATATATCTTGCACTTGTTGATGTTCTTTACAAAGCAGGGAAAGTAGAAAAGGGGAATGAATATTTGTTCCACATGTTTAAGGATGGTTTTGTATCTAACACATTCTTCTATAACCGGGTCATTGATTGCTTATGCAAAATCAAAATGATGGACAAAGCATCAGAGTCTTTTAAAGACATGCTTCAGAGAGGTCTCGCTCCCAATCTTGTAACTTTCAACACTCTTATTAGTGGACATTCTAAGGTAGGGGAGATTGACAAGGTACGTGAGCTATTAGTCATGTTACTGGAACATGGTTTTCGACCAGACATTTTCACGTTTAGTTCACTGATTTACAGCCTTTGTAGAGTAAACCGGATTGACGATGCTTTAGACTGTTTCACTGAGATGGTAGAATGGGGAGTTGCTCCAAATGCTGTTACGTACAATATCTTAATTCGTGCACTCTGTGTCCTGGGAGATGTTGGTGGATCGCTGAACTTATTAAGAAAAATGCAAGATGATGGAATAAAAGCAGATGTTTTCTCCTTCAATGCCTTAATTCAAAGTTTTTGTAGGATGAATAAGATTGACGAGGCACAAAGGCTTCTTGTAAGCATGTTGACGCTGGATTTGAGCCCTGATAATCATACTTACGGTGCATTTATTAGGGCCTTATGTAACTTGGGGAGATTTGATGAAGCTAAGAACTTGTTTTTGTCAATGGAAGCAAATGGATGCATCCCCGACGCTTCCACATGTAAATTATATTTTGATTCAATTGTTCAATCAGGATGTAGTGAAGAAGCTCGGGATGTTTTAAGGGAGTGCAGGGAAAAGGGGATGCTATTGGAACCCGTTACTGCTTCATAGTATCTTTTCTTTAGGATTGATTATCACTTGATGCTGACAACCTATGCTGCTCCTTAGCCCACCATGGACATAAGCTATTGACTCAACAAGCTGGGTTCTACACAATAATTTTGGAGACAAATGTACTATAGGTATGACTGTTTTCTTGATAAGTTACTATAGGTTTGATGTTATGATCTCCTCTATGTCTCTGATCTTTTCCTCGTTTTCTTCTACTTCTTTTGTTGCCGTATACGCTTTTATTTTTGATAAATATGTGTGTTTGATTTCTAAGTTGTTTATTATTTTGGTGTTTTTCTGGTTGATACTTGACAGTGAAAAGCCTATGGCTAATTAAAGCATAACTTCTTCCAATCTTTGCTCCTTTGGTCACTATATTTGCAATTATAAATCCCTAATGGTAAAAGATGCTAAGGAGGCAAGAAGGATAAAAAGAATTACTAGACAGACAGGAGGTTAAATCTGATTCCTTTCCCGAAAACGATTTTCAAAATGTCTTGAGAGGGAAAAGTGGGATTTGGTTATAATATAGTGCCAGTCTAATGGACTAGAAATTGACAAGTGTATAAAGTAAAGGCGCTACTCTATGACTCCTGATGATCGGATGTTGACTTTTGTGATCGTTTTGTGGTCATAAATTTTCCTATTTAATTGACAGAATAAAAATAGAAAGATGTCACAAGACTTTCTCAATAGACAAATATCTGAGTATTCTGTTGAGAAAGGTATTTTCTCTTGTTTTTAATGTTATTATGGTATGCAATTAGGTGTGACCTATTACTACTAAGCAGCAGTTCTGAATTTAATGTTAGTTGAAGCATCCAATATAACTTGTCAACTGCGAAAATTGTACGTTGGGCTTAATTTGTAACAGAACTGCTTTATTCTTCTTTGTTTCGGTGAAATATAAACAGCATTAGTCAGAGATGGCATATGCAATCATCTTAGTGGAGTCATCAGGGATTTTGAAATATAGCAGTCACGTTTTGCTGTCAGAGCTAAATTTCAGGACTGCTCAGGATGTGTTGGCATGAAAAAATAATTCTAGACTTCTTAAGACCATATTCGTGAGGAATAGACTTCTTAAGGTTAATTTGATTTTGGCCAGGAATGGCAGTCAGATAGGATTGGGCTTGCTGTGAGGTGTAGAGATACTCCGAAAGTTGAATTATCTAATGTGTTCTCCATCATGACAGCTAAAAAGACTACAATTGCTGAATTACTTATAAGTGCAGTGGACCCAATCATTTGACGTATCTCTTAGTAATACAATTAGGATTAGAATGAATGATGTAGAAGAGTTCTTACTGAACACTAATTGGCGATTCTGATAAGTTAATATGGAATATCTGATAAAAAAGATTCTGATAAGTTAATATGGAATGGATCCACAAGAAGCTTTTCAGTGAAGTCATACTATAACATTTTACTTAATGGGGATGGGTCAAACCCGATATTGTTGTCGTTATGGAAGTCCAAGGCACCTAATAGTGTTGCTTCTTCGCATTGAGTGCAGCGTCAGGTTCCACCTTGGCAGCCAACAATTTGAGGAGGCCAAGAGTTTCAGTGAGCTGTGTTGTATGTATAACGCTCATGAAGAGGATGTTGATCACCTCATTCAGCATTGTATTTTTTTTTTCATCCTATATATCAAAGAATTTCATCAGTTGAATATGCCAAACTTTTTAGAAGAATGTGCATGAATGGGTGACTCAACCAATTTTAGCAAATAAGGAGTCTCAATCATCCTTTGCTACAGTAATTTTTTCTTTACACACCAAATAGAAGTACACGAAACAAAAATGATTTTTATGCTACTATTATTTATTTCAATATTCTGGAAAGTCGTCTTACAGTGATGTTTTCTTTTCCTTTTCGAAATACGAAGAAGTGCCTGTGGAACTACTGTCAGTAGTACACTCAATTACTTCTTGTGAATGTTTAAATAAAGAAGAAAAGATTACTCTGTGATTTTTTGAATATTCCTATGTCCGACTAGTAAGAAGCTGTTGAGAGCTAGGTTTCCTGAATGTACATCTTCCTAGCCGGTCCTAAATTGATGAACAAAGAAGCATCCAGGTATACTCAACTCTCTAGATCCCTTAACATTTTGTTTGAACCTTTGTTTAAACAACCAATGCTTTGATCATTTAATTAAATTTTTGCCGTCAGCCCATGTTTAATATTGTGCTGGCAAAAGCAGGCATTTTAGTCGGTTTTACCTACGTTTTGTTTAATATTTCATGGGTTAACCCAATAACTGTGGCAGAGGCAATGCTTATTGGAGGACAAGATGGACACAAGGAAATAAGACAGGCTATGCAATTTCCATACAATTTGGGAAAAAAGGTTTAGTACAATGTTTGAAGGATTAAAACTCCATAGGTTAAGGTTATGTTCCGTTTGTATCTAATCTCTATTTTAGGTGTAACAAGGATTCTCCCGTTTGCACAGATAGTTGGCTTGATTTGAGGATTTTTAATTACGCTGTACTATTATATAATGTTTGTAGAGCCATTATTAAAAAAAAGGAGAAAAGAATCATATAATGTTCGCAGAGCACCCAAAGGTGACCTAGCCGTCAATGAAGTTGGAATGGACTCAAATTCCAGCGGAGGCAAAAAGAGTTAGGTGATTTCTTCCCTTCTATTTAAGTAGTGGTGGACAGAGTTACCCAATAATTTTTACTAGTGAGAAGTAGCAGGTACCTGGTGAATTAGTCGAGATGCACGCGGATTTGACTTGGACTCCATTGTCATAAATTTTTTCTATAGCACTTTCATTGTGTGTATCAATTGCATAATTTTGAAAATAAAAGAATTGTTGTAGTTTGGGGATTTGGTTGAAGTCCGACAATACTTTTGGTGGTTTCAATTGGACAACATTGTCCATGTACAATATTTGTGCAATTGGAGATTTTCTAATAATGGTGAACTAGCAGAAATGATAGGTGCATATGTGTGAAGTGTGATTCCCAGTTGTAGTTCATGCTTTTAGTTTCTCGGGCTTAACAATTTCTTAAACCACAAGACTTACATTATTGATTAAACATTGTTAGATCTGAGATGGTATTCTGTAGCTATCACAAATGTTAGGTACAGTGTGGAAGATATGTTTCACAGGCACTCCAAATCTCATGGCTACACATGAACACCCTATACTTTTAGGAAATTTCTGCAACACCTCTGAGTCTTTGGTTTCCAAGGACCTTCAATCTTTTAGCTATTGATAATGTTATAGAAAGCATTGTTTTAGATTCTCCTAGTAGAAGAGTATTTGTATTAAATAATTCTTGTTTTTTAGGACTTCTGTAGAAAAGTGTATGGGATTAGCATTTTCACTCATGCATATATGTGCCTGTGCCACAATTCTAATAGATCTCTCCTTTTATATGAGGAGTGGCTGTGCTTTTCCAAGGAGCAGCAGTCTTTGATTGATCTGCCTTGGAGAAACAGCAAGTTTAACTTTAGGTATCTCTTCTATTAAAATCTTGATGTTTCATATCTGATTGGATTGCTGTTTAAGCTGGTTTACATTATAATTTGCTTGTCTTGGATTGTGAAAGTTTCACTTTGTATATCTCCTTTAATATTTGCTTGTCTTGGATTGCGAAAGTTTCACGTTGTATATCTCCTCTGTGACATCTTGATGTTTTATATCTACTTTGCGGTTGAAATTGTGGTAATTTTTGATATTTCAGCTAACTTTTTCTACAAAATGAGGATGAAGAAAAATTTCATGCTTTAACTTTTAGTTTATTTTCATCCTTCTTTTATTCGCAGGAGGTGAATGAGCTGTTAAAAGCAAAGCAACATGCACTCGTTTCTCTGTCAGATTTGGAATAATAATGAGGTGCTTAATTGATCTAAGAAATCTGATTTTCAGATCAAGGAACTGACTAAAGGGAAAAGGAATTACTGGCTCGTTCTTATCAATACCAAACCAATACTTACTATGGATGCTTCACTGTGAACGCGAAGATGGAGCCCTTGTTTAGATCTTATACATGAAACCTGGGTGTTAATTTGTAAAAGGTTTTTCTCTGCCTCCATACATGATGATGAATTTTTTCTTCCTTTTCATCTCTGTTCTCGTCTAGATGGAGTGAACTGTACTCGTGACCGGTTTAAGTCTTTGTGCTCATGCATCTTCTATGAAAGAAGTTTTTCTTGACTACTTCAACCATGTAAACATAAGCTGGCTAGCAATATAGGCTCTTGACATGTGGTTTAAGCCCCTTCTCGTAAAGGAAAAAGAAATATTTGATCATTGAAAGCTGTGTTAGCTGAAAATGTTTTAATTTCAGCATCTGTGGTCATAAAGTATCAATATTGTGTTCTAAGTTGGCCTTTCGAGGCTAGGATGGTTTCCTGCCAGTTGAAGATTCTTCTTGTGGTTTAAAGGAATGTACAATGGCAGAAGTTCAACTGCTTCTCGGTCCTTAACCGAGAAGACTCGAAAGAGGAACGATCACGAAGAAGTGACGCGGCCCCATCTTTAATATTTCCAAATGGAAGCTGGGCTTGGTCTTTCACCTTATTTCACTATTTCTGTGGGTTCCTATCTTTCCCAGAAGTACTACTGGCTAAGGAATCATCAAGAGTTCAAGATACATCTCCCTGTATCAGTGTTATCTATTACTTAGTGGTTGAATGAGGAACCATAGCAGGTTTCCTCTTGGAAATTTTGTATAGACTGAATTGACAAGGACTAACGATTTATCCATTTGTTCTGTCACATGTAACATTTGCTAATGTGAACACTTAAAAGTGAATTCTTGATATTCTGATCTAAAGAATGAATGAAGGTCTTCATACTGTCCCTTATTCCTACCCACCAAAGCTACACTGGCTTGCTTCTGGGAGGTTGGGTGTTCTGTTGCTGCTATCTGACCTAGGACTAAGTTTTAAGTTTATCATATTCCTCCATGTAGCCTTCAAGATTTTTGCTATGCATACATGAAAAAAAAAAAAAAAAAAAAAAAAAAAAAAAAAAAAAAACTAGCTGACCCTGTAAAACTTTTTTCTTTCTAAGACATGGCATGTATAGTTACCCGATACTTGTATGGGTGGTAGTAGGTATCAATGGAAGAGTTATGGCGTGCGCAAGCTAGCCCTCGTAAAATTTCGGTTGTTTTTAGTACTCGATAGGTAGAATTACCCAATATATGCGAGCTGGCACCTCATAAATCTTTTTTGGTTTTAGCATTTGGTTAGGTGGGAGGTAAAAGGTGCTCAATAAAATAATTGTGGTGTGTGCTAGCAGTGTTTTAAAAGGCGATGCGTTTTATATATGCGACAGCGAGTCGTAAACCCCATAGGTATTTAATTTTTAATATTTTATAAAATAATATAATTACAGTAAATATTTATAAACAAGTAAAATTGCATACAAATTGAAGAAAACTATAAATATATGAAATATATATTATATGCTACTTACAAGCAAAAGCAACTTGAATCTAAAAGAATAAAGTTTTTTATATGGAGGAACAAAAAAAATGACTAACCTGCAATTTGAACTTTGAACTTGCAGCTATGAAGGAGAATGAAGTTCTCTTTGTTTTTGTAAAATAAAATTAATATTCGTTGCTTTTGGGAGATATTAACATACTAGCGGACAAGATAAAGAATTAGGAAAGACCATGAGTTAGGGCTTCAATCAATAAAAAATGTCTTAACTTTTAAATTTAATGCATTTCAATTCCTTTTTAAAACTTTTGAATAATTACCAAGCTGACTTTTGAGAATTTGGGTATTATATGAAGGACTTGTTCACAAAATTTGTTGTAATTTGAAAAAGTCTCTAGGGGTTACCTCCCACTAAAAAAAAACGCGTCGCGAATGCCCAGGTGTATGCCCGAACGCCCGGGGCATACGCCTGAGCGTACACCCCGAACGCCTGGGTGTACGCCTCTTGAGACTTTCGTCCCACACCATCGCCTGGGGCGTTTTTGGTGTGCCTCGCCCAGGGCTCGCCCGAAAATGCCTTTTAAAACAGTGTGTGCTAGCAGATCTGAACGCCAAAAAAAAAAAAAGAGAATTGCCTTTTCCGTTTTGCCTTTTTTTTTTAAAAAATCCCTTAATGGCGTGAGTTGGGCAACGAACGGCACTACATCCAATAAAACTCTAGAAAATTGTTGACGGTAACTTCCAGCACAAGAATGGATCTTCTAGGTTTGATTTCTAATACAAAAGACCTCAAGCAAGTAATGGCCGTTGCAGTTCAGCTGCATTCTGCTTTTAGTCACCTTTTTAGACCATCCAATATTTTAAGTTTCCATCGAGCAGATCACCCATTTCTTTTACTTTTCCCCATGAAATTTCTCTTGTTTTACTTGACTATTGTAGATTCTTCAGTTACAAGCTTCCTTATAATTCCATACCATAATAGAAATTTTCAAATATAAAATCGACAACCATCCTCAATGTAGAACATTCCCCAAAATTTGGTTGTTTTAAATCTTGGAGAAATTAATTATTCACTTTCTGGAATCTATTACGTGTGAAATACAGCAGAAGATCTTGGTTTCAGGCACTACTTGCTTTATATATAATCAGCACAAACTTGTGAAATATGAGTGTCATATACTACTCATTTTTTGAGATGGCAATTTCCATTAACATGAAGTATTCTCTTCAAGCTTTAGCTGTGACTTGCATCTTGTTTTTCTCCTTCACACTAGGTGATATATGCTTTCTACTTTTCTTCTTGTTCCAATGTTAAATCTTCTAGTTATCTGACAGTTTATGTGAATGCAAATTGTTCTTGACAGGGAAAGCAGATGATTATGGGACTCAAACCGCAGCTGCAGGAGTACTTGAAAATGAATATCTGCCAAATTATGGAGGCATAAATGGAGGATATTCATCGCAAAACGGAGATTATCCTCATGAATATGGGGGTGGCACTGGCACAGCTGATGCTCAACCTGGCTATCTTTTCTCTAAAGCTTTGCGATGTTTCAACGATAAGCAGGTAAGTAATTCTTAGACATCAATGTTCTCACTTAGTCTTTGCCTATATATATTGCAATTAAGCAAGAAACAATCGCTTATATATGTGAGTTTATAGTTGGAAACAGTATGTATATGGAATACAGTTAAATGCAATAATTAATGATGGTAACTTACTTCAAATGAAGCTGCAGATATACAGTAGTTGTGAGGAGGCTTATAGACTGACTGAGACAGGGGATCTCAATGTACCACCTGAATATACCGATCAATATTGCAGCGGACCATGCTTGAAGGAGACACACCTTGTGCTAAATTGTCTTGGAAATATACTGTCAAACTTCAGATTCTATAATAAGGCCACCATTAGGGTGGTCGAAGAGACTATCAAGGAAGGATGTAGCTATGGCCCTAGAAGAGGTTAAACTTTCTCCAGTCCGTATACTTTACTATACAAAAATGTATTCTTGAGAAGAATATTAGGCAATACTAAATGATATACTAACCAACTTCTGAAAGGATTTTATCAATATATTTTAACTTGTTGTAGCACGTAATCTGTCAGATTATTAATCCCACCTCTTATACCTGAAGTTATCTTTTAGATGACTCGAGTGTAAAAATTGTTTTACTATAGAAGTTGAACTCATTGTACAATGTGGCTACAGGTTTCTTCAATGTTGCTGAGCACATCCTAGCTGATGGTGGCACTGCTCTTCGCGCTTCCAAGTTCATGCTACATGGTGTTGTTCTTATGTCTTTGACACACATTTTCTTCCTTTAAAGAATTTGAAGTGATGGTATTGATGGACAAAGTAGCTTATAGATTTAGATGGAGCATTCTAGTTTTTGGTGTTGTTCAATTTGACAAGTGGTAGTGCTGATAGGTTGTAGTGAACAAAAGCCTATCTGTTCATTATATCTTGGAAATTCTTGTTCCATTTGGGCCGTTGTTGTAGATAAGCACCCGAGAGTTTGTTAGATAATTATCCATTTCTAAATTATATGACAAAATTAATGTCTATGCTCGTTAATTCATCTGCTTACCATACCAAAAGGCACAATTCCCTGCAGGAAAAATAGCACTGAGTAAATCTACAATCAGATCAATTGTGGCAAGAATGGGGAGGTTCATTGCCTGCAAATTAACATTCTACCATTTATAAATGTTAATCTATAAACGAAGAGATTCAAATTTACAGATATTCATTTAACAAAACATACGATTATACTTTCTTTCTTGAACGATATCATCTTACACTTTTTTTTTTTTTTTTTTTTTTTTTTTTGTGAGTTATCTTTTTGGGTGGACCTCCTCAATTTGTACTGCAAATCTTAATATAGAGTACATGCGACAACTATATTGAGGAGTAAACAGAGGGGTTCATGATGATGAGAATAATTAAGATCGATGAAAGAAATGCCATAGATATCGCAAGGACTCAGGGCGGATGTAGCATTTAAGCTACGGGTCAATTGAACATAATATTTTTGACACGAAGCATAAATTTATGTGTATAATCTACTAAAATTACAACAAATTATATATATGAATTTATAGCTTTAAAAATACAATGTATTCAATATTAAGAAGTTAAATCCATAAAATTTTAATTCTGGATCTACCTCTGGAAGAACTCATTTCAAAAGATGGAAAGCATGGCTTGGGGACCAAAAATAGGAGATTAGATCCCTCCCTCCTTGGTACAAGGACACATTGTTGATATTATTCTTTCTTTAGGAGTTATACTCTAATTTGATAATCCATAAAATAAAAAACTTCTAATTCACAATTAATTTGTGGTTAATTCTCATACCTCTCCATTATTAATTTTTGTAACATATCTAGATTGTATGTATATGCAGAGTGGGAGAATAAAGCTACTACTTAATAAATGATTTATATTAATTCATATGACGGTTTCTTAATTTTTGTGACTTTGTATGTAAAAAGATATTAACTTTTTAGAAGGTTTGAAGTTACTATCTTTATGACAATTTTGTTACTAAACTAAGAATAATGTTACATAACATTAATTCCCATTTGGCTTCTTACGTTTTTCTAATGGAAGAAAACATAAATGATTTGCCTATATAAGTATCATCATCTGTGAGCTAAATAACTACCAAAACATTTATTCTCTCATCCTCTCAAAAGACTATTCTTCTTCCTATTTTCTGGGCAACTTTTTTTTTTTTTTGCAAACACTAAACTTCCAGCCATGAGTGCACATGTTTAGGAGTACCGTGGAACCTTGGAGAGCGACATGTCTTAAAGATTTGCACCTAGTCGGACCGAAATCACTTTCAAAGCAGTGACTTGCCACGACACATTATTTATTCGATACACATAGAAAGGTTAGATATTGTCTCCATCCCTACGAAACGAAGTACAAAGGAAGTTGTTTTGAAAGAGTCTAGCCGTTCATTATATATATATATATATATATATATATATAAAGTACAAAGGAAGTTGTTTCGAAAGGGTTTGAGATGGAACTGTTGAAATAAGTATTTCAATAAATTTGAAATAAGATATTTGATAAATTAATGCATTTTATCAAAAGGCTCTTTAATTTCCAAAGTGAATGGATGTGAATTGATAAGAGTGGGTTGCTCAAATGGTGAGCACCCTCCACTTCCAACCAATAGGTTATGAGCTCGAATCACCCCAAGAGCAAGGTGAGGAGCTCTTGGGGAGAAAGAATAAAAAAAATAGATGTGAATTCATTCTTGATTTACTATATACATTTTTAGTGTTAGAAGACCATCTTGATCCCCTAAAATTCATGAATATATCATGAACTTTATTAAATGAAAAAGTTGTCTTTCAAGAGTATTTTAGCCAATGAATGTGTCACGCCCCGAACCTGGCCCTGGACGTAATACGGCACTCGGTGCTTGGCTATATGTGACCGAGCGAACCAACTGGCTGGCTGAATCAACATGTGATATCATATCATACTAAATACGGAAGATAAACTAACACATGCTGATATACTAAAAGTCTGAATGATAAAAATCAAAGTGCGAAAATACTAATATAATTTTGAAACATATTTGTAATCAACATAGCTTAATATGAAAAGTCTGCGACTCTATCTAGCTGTTACTCTAGTCTATGAAGCCTCTATTGGAGTACTGAAAACATTGACTGTTTGTAAATACTGAAAGACTATAAAGTAATGATAATGCCACGAAAGAGCTGGGGATCACCAAATAGCTAGTAAGAGAATCCTAGTGCTCTGAATCGTCAACCTGTAAATCAGTACCTGCATCATGAGATGCAGGCCCCGGGCAAAAAGGGACATCAGTACATTTGAATTGCACTGGTATGTAAAGCAACTGAAAGAAAGAATTATAAATGCTGAAACTAATACTGAGCTGATAACTGAGAATTGATAATTGATAACTGAAATTATAACTGTTGAAACTGAAACTGAAATGATAACTGATAGTTGATAACTGATAGCTAATAACTGAAATAATAGATGATAACTGAACTGAACAAAGGAAGTAAGGATATGAATACTCCCTCTTCTGAATGATGAACAACCTGCTTATTTGAATATTAAATTGCGGCCTCACGCCCAATATATATATGTGCACAAACTGCGGCCTCGGGCCCAAGTATACTTATACATAACTGCGGCCTCATGCCCAAAGATGCATAAAGCATAAACTGCAGCCTCAGGCCCAAAGATGCATAAAGCATTAACTGCAGCCTCAGGCCCAAATACAAGTGTTCGACATTCAGGGATTTAAAATTAGGAATTGAGAATCATACTGCAATACATAATAGTGAAATACTGAATCATGCTGAGTTACATGATACTGAAATACTGGATCACACTAAGTTATATAATACTAGAATACTGAATCATACTGAGTTACATAATACTAGAATAGTGAATCATACTAAGTTACATAATACTGGAATATTGAATAGGACTAGAATGAGACATGTATTCTTGAACTGATTATGAACACTGAAACTTCAACTGTTTATGACATGCTGAGTAAGCTATACTGAGACTTAGGGACATCAAACCCAAGTCTATATTGAATACGCTAAGCTCACAATGTTCAAAATGAAAGTCATGAATGAGTTTGAAGCTAGAGAATAGAAGTTCTACAACTACTCAAGGAACTAGGCTTAACTATATTTCTGAGGCAATTGATACGTCGTAAAAGAAACGAAGTGTAGGGAGAATCATTAACATTCCTAAACATAGAGAGTTAGCCTCACATACCTCAATTTCACCCCTTATTGATACTATAATGATCCACAACACTAAGAACCTTCAATCTACAATAGAACATCCAATAGAACCAATATTAGCAATATATAACTTAAGCCATTTAGGCATATTATCAAACACCTTGTAGGCACAAATATCTATATCTCATCACCATATAGTTAGCTCATCTAATTACCACCATTCATCAACAATTTACCCCACCATCATGACAACAAATTTATAACTTCCAACATCACATATATGACCATTCATCCACACCCTACCAACAAAGTTTGTTTACCGTGAAAATGGTAACAACAATTAAATTTGTAAATGGGATTCTAAAAATACGTGATCTATTCTTGAGCTAGTCGTTAGAGCAGATGATGCTAAGAATGTGAAGTTTAACAATAAGATGCAAGCTAAAACGAGGCAATAATCAAACCGAGGGGCCTGTTGCATGGATGTAAGACTGGTCGATGGGGACCTCGGGGTCAACGTCTTGGTCGAGCTCGAGCTATCGGGAGCAATTGGGAATGGGGTAACAGTTAGGTTATGATCAAGAAAAGCTCTACATCGCCAATTCCAAGCGATAAACAAAGAACAAGTAAGAAAGCAATAAATGCTAAATGGCCTCGAGCCAGTGAGGGCAAATGAATTTTAGAAAGAGAGAGAGAGAGCGAGAGAGAGAGAGAGATTATTGCACTTGAGTAGAATAGTTGGAGCTCTGCCTTTACAGGGTGTTAGCGACTCCCCTTTTATAGAAAAGGGGAGCCCAAACTTAGTACAAGATACGTTGCATGATAAAAAAGAAATGGGATGGGACAACCGGCTAGCTTTATGACGTATGTGTGGGCTAGTGTTGAGCCGCTTGAATAGACCTGATCACCCCCAGGTGCATTCCTCGGGAGATTCCTGCGTTCGTCGGGAGTTCGGTCGACATTATCCTTGGCAGGGCACTGCCCGATCTCGAGGGAAGTGACTGGCTCGAGATCCCGCATTTTCGGGATCACCCTTCGAAGCATTTTGTCAAGGAGAAATTGGCCTCCCAGATTTCACCGCGCACAAATAGTCTCCGCGTTTCTTAGAGGGAAGTGATAAGAAATGATTTGGACATCCCACTTTTTGGTCTCCTATAACGATATTGTGCTGACAGTGTAGCCCCCCTTTTTACAAGTGTCGAGGCGCTTCGCCTTTTCGCTTTTCCAGGATCACCCAAAATGTCAAGATTCTTCGTTCTTCAAAATTATGCTGTTGTTATCGGTTCAACTTCTATGAAAGCATTGATTGCGCCTGCGGTTACACTTTTTGAGGGTGATAATGGTGCCGTTGTTACTTTCCCTCCCTATAAATGGGGCTTTTCGTGGTTGGCTCCTTATTCAAGCTTCCTTTGATACCCATCTTTTCTTCCTCTCCTGCTATCTTGAGTTTCTGCCATCTCGTCATGTTTGAGGCTCGTAGCCTCAAGATATTACGTCATGTGTACCTTGGCTCGACTCTCGATCCCTTTTTTGGTTGGGTGAAGCTATGACGTTGTGATGATGTTGTTGTTGTTGTTGTTGCAGTTGCCGTTGGCTCGGGGTGATGAGGCAGAGGGCCGATTTCCTCCGACCTTGGGGATACTTTGGATTATGCACTGCTGCTCAAGATGGGGCTCGGATTATACACCGCTGCTCACCCTCCTCCCTCAGTTCGGCATGTTACACCCTTTTTAGATTCCTGGGGGGTGTGGTTGTGGTCTCTGCCGGCTGTTGCCTTCCAGGCCGAGGCAACATCTCAAGAAGTGGCTTTAAAATG